CAAGGTCAGCAGAACCACAAAGTCAGCAGTTCCAATTCACCAGCCACTCCTTGGAAACCTTACACTGGGTCACTATGAATCGGAATCAACTCAAAGGCACTTAACAACAACAACTATTTGTGTTAAAGAAAAAAAAGCCACAACATGTAAGAAAAGAAGGAAAAGTAAGATAAGAAATGTATACACATTCCAGAGAGAATTATCTCTGGAAGAGTAACCAGAAGCCAATGTTTCTCTAAATCCAAGTATCTGGAGAGTTGTTGCTGTTGTTAAGTGCCGTCGAGTCGGTTCCAACCCATAGCAACTCTGTATAGGGTTTTCGAGGAGCAGCTGGTAAACTTGAACTACCTGGACTTGAACTACTGTCTGGAGAGTTAGGAGGTATTAAATACTACTTGGTACATTTTAGTTTTAGTATCATATACATGTAGTATCTAGTTTTTAAAAAATCACTTAATTATGTTCTGAAAAGACAAAAACTAAGATATTATCTGCCCAAGATGAAACATCTATGAATTGCTCTACTACTTGGATTCTTATTCGCCAACTTTTGGAAGCTATACAGTATTCTAGACAAGCTGGGTCAACTTGATTGATAGTCTCTGATTTATATAAATATTTAACTATTCCAGATGCCTTATCTAATAGCCAAAGGTTACCAAAAACTGTATCGCTGCTCAACTCTTTCTTGGGTCTTCAGTTCAAGTGTTGCATGGAGAAGTTAAAGGTACTACCATAAAATGTTTCACAGCACCTAACTTGCTAACCTGCACTGGCAGTGACCTTTCAGTTTTAAAAACTGGCATGTCCTGATGTGCTCCAAATGTGGATTCAGCAAGAATCTTTGGAAAGTTGTTATGTTTAAATTCCATACTGGGTATGGGTTCCAGATGCTGCAAGCCTTACAAAGAAACAGAAAATAGCCAGCGAACACCACATCAGTCTTCTGTAAAGCAGGCTAGAATGCTTCCAACCAGAGACTGTGCTCTTTCCTTCTTCTTCTATATCCATCATCCCTGAACACCAATGTTACCAACTCAATACAATCATCTAGAAGACACTCTCATTATGAATGTTCATTACTAATTTTAGAAACAAAGCGTTCTTTCATTTTAATTATTTCCATTATTGTTATTCATATACTATTCTTTTTGACAACAAAAATAATTCTTATTTTTAGAAGGTAAAACTATTCTCATATTGTCGTTGTGAAGTGCCGTCGAGTCGAATCTGACCCATACTGACCCTGTATATTAGCCTACACTGAAAATTATGGGTACAGGTTGTTGCTGTTTTTATAAAAACAAAATACATTTGTTCATAAGAATTTATACCCCTCTTCAATGATATCAATGAGGAAATACTAAATAAATAAATACTTTAGAGAGCATTTTGTTTCTTTTCCTCATATATGTTTTCCAATGACAGAGCTTCTGAGATCAATAAATGTTTAAGTAAATACAGTTTAAAACTAAGGGAAATGTTGCAATACCTTTCTATAAACAGATTTTAAATCTTATACCATGGTACTACGATTTTTTTTCCCAAAAACCTTCTAAAGCCAGCTGTATTGTATAGTTTCAGACAGACTAAATTTAGCCAGTTCTGTTCATCAGAGGAATGCTGTGTGTCAGCTACATGAAAGCCCAAGGGCAGCCTGATAAACACTGAATACAGGTCACGTAGCTCTGTAGCTAACAAACTCTAAGAGAGCTTGTACTCGGGGGCATTCAAAGCAGTTTTGTCATCAACAATCTAGTATCCCTTGAGCCCCCATGTCGTTTCAGTTGCTAAGCAACTCTGGTGTTAATGTCTTAGAGGAGAAAAACTTACCAGGCATCTGGCCGTTCATCTGGTTCTGCATGTGTGGTGCAGGAGGACCCCCACCTACAATTCCATCTGAAGACATGTTGTGAGAGCGAGGAGGTGGGGGAGGGCCGCTCTGATTCATCCCTCCAAGACCCATAGGCATATTCTGTGTGGGTGGCTGAAAGGAAACAGTTTAGTAAAACAAGAGAAACAGTTAGACTAATACATTAAAGATGCATATGGTGTAACAGTTGCCTATATTATTAAATTGGGTAGGAACAAAAACACAAATGCATTTCAATGTATTCTAATGCATTTTAATCATGGACTATTAATATCATTATTTAGTATTCTCCCAGACTTCTTAAGACAGTCAAAATGAGCAAAGAATCGAAGCACCTTAGACCAAAAGAATACCACAATTAAAGCAGGTTTTAGTTTATAGAATCTTAGTTTTAAATTTTATAAAATTTTTGACATTCTGTATAAAGGATTTTCATTTATTTCATATATTAAGGAGTCTTAATGAAT